GATACAGAGAAACTCAACAAGTAAAAGAAGGCCATTAACCCCTCCAGGTACAACAACTGGTTGTCTAAGAAAGGAAGCAGAACCACAGGATACTATGGATCAGTCATCACAATGGCATGCTGATGATTATGGCTTCATCCCAGAATTATGTTATTGCCCTATTGAGAAACGGGAAAAGGGAAAGTGTGGGTGGTTGTATGGGACACCCCAATCCTCATCTATCTTGCAAAGAATTCACCACCTAAAATGGACAAACCAGGAACAAAAGGGCCATTTATTTAGAAATAGAGGTAAGCTCTAGATGAAACAACTACCATCTTGACAGTGGTAAAACTGGTCAGAAAGGAGGTGGGCACATTTTCATCAGAAGCCTTCTAGAAACATTTAACTTCAAAACTATGCAGCATATTATTTTGATAAAACTAAGACTTCTTTTCCTTAGTGTTGGGGAATCAAAGCCAGGACTTCACTTAGGCTAGGGGAGAGTTCTACCACTGAGCTGCACCCCAGCCCCTATAAAAGATAAATCTTTATATTTTAAAATGTGAGTGAAGCAGGTCTTTGAGGAAGCTGGGATAGCAGTTGATTTCACCTGAACAACTTTGATTCTAATATGCTGTGGGAATCGATCCCCAAGAGACAGGGCGGGAGCTGATGGTGTTAAGCTGCTGGGTAAACAGAAGCCTGGGGTAGCTGTGACAGGCCAGGAGGCTGACCCTGTCTCCTGGGCTCTCCAAAGCCTCAGAAGGCCAGGCGGCCATGTGGATGGACAGCCAACAGAAACTCCTCAGGGCTGACTCCAGGTGGCTAACCGGGCTAAGTACTTCCAAGAAGGTGAGCATAGGGCCTTGCAATATCTTTGTTCAAAGAGGAAGACCAAACCTGGAGACATGACAGAGGGTGTTCACATTTAGTGCATTCCCTAAGTGACAGAGCTGGGAAGGGAAGCCGAGTCAGTCCCAGCAAAAGCTAAACTCCCGATCACTCTGCTTCTCGGCTCCCTATTTCTACCTGTTCAACCGCTGGAAACAGGGCACCGCCAGTCACGCTGCTTCCAGGTTCTTTCTCTTGGAGTCCCTCCCTTGAGCTCTCACCAGATTCCATCTCTGGAAAGTTAATCATTCCTGCTCTACCCCCCTCACAGGTTAGGAGGTAACAAATGAATGTAAAAACCATTTTTTGAAAGCCAGGTGCAGTGGCATATGTCTGTAATCCCAGCAGTTCCAGAGGATGAGGCAGGAGGATCGTGAGTTTGAAACCCATCTCAGCAACCTAGTAAGACCCTAAGCACGGTCCACACCCAAAGGACTTAAAAACAGCATACTACAGGGACACAGCCACATCAATGTTTACAGCAGCACAATTCACAATAGCTAAACTATGGAACCAACCTAGATGTCCTTCAGTGGATAAGTGGATAAAAAAAAATGTGGCATATACACAATGGAATATTACTCAGCAATAAAAGAGAATAAAATCATGGCATTTGCAGGTAAATAGATGGTGTTGGAGAAGATAATGGTAAGTGAAGTTAGCCAATCCCTAAAAAACAAATGCCGAATGTTTTCTCTGGTATAAGGTGACTGACTCATAGTGAGGTAGGAAGGGGAGCATAGGAGAAATAGACGAACCCCAGATAGGGCAGAGGGGTGGGAGGGGAAGGGAGGGGGCAGGGGGTTAGCAAGGATGGTGAAATGTGATGGACATCATTATCCAAAGTACATGTATGAAGACACAAATTGGTATGAACATATATTTACAACCCGAGATATGAAAATTGTGCTCTATATGTGTAACAAGAATTACGTTCCACTGTCATTTCAAAAAATAATAACAATAAAGGACCCTAAACAATTTAGCGAGACCCTGTCTCAAAATAAATCATAAAATAAGGTGTGTGTGGGGGTAAGCCCCTGGGTACAAACAACAACAACAACAAAACATTTGTAACCTTATTTATGCAAATGGAACTATTACTTTGACCAGGGGAGGGAGATGGGGGGTCTTGGGATGCTGTTTGGTCTCTGGCATAAACTTTAGAGAAGCTAACCCTGGGTCATTTGTGGTCTCTTGCTTGCCTGACCAAGCTCAAATGAGGATTTTTGAGAAGAGAGTTCTGGGATTCCCGAACGATGTTCACCCTCCACTCAGCAACAGGGATGATGCTGTGGCACTGTGACTTTAAATGTGGCTGACTCGGTAGGCATTTCCCACATGGGAAATCTGAGAATTTCTTCTTTTTAAAAATTGTAAAGAATTCCAGAGTCAGTTCCAGCTCAGGATCTGTGACCTGACAGATGGAACAGCTCCAAAACCGAAAATGTTTCCTCTCGCTTTGACCCAGGTGTCTGCCACCTACAATTGGGACAACTTTCTACTTGCCCAGCTTGGGAGTGATTTCCTGGCTTCAGTGGCTCCCCAGTCATTTCCTTTAGCTCAAGTCTGCCACCTGGTGGACAGTGCTCACTTTTTAATTTCACAACTTTTAAAAAATGTTTTCACATTTAAAAAATTATCAGGTGCTTTTTACAATCTGTGAGGTATCTGCATAGTATTATTATTTCCATTTTATAATGAGAAAATGGGGTGAGAGGAAGGAATTCGTAAGTACCCGGAGCTGCAGTTAGTGTCTTTTTCCTCCATTCAGCAAAAACCAAAAATACTATCGTCTGAGTGTGCTGGGTTGGAGCCCAGTGTTAAGTCCTGGCTCAGCAACTGCCACCAAGTGAGGTGTTTGACAGAATTGAATCTGATCACTGCCAGGCCCTCTGTCACACTGAACGTTTGCACTTGCTGGAACTACTCTGTGCAATGAATGTGCTGATTTATTTCCAGAAGGGGAAGCCAAAGCTGGTACCTCATTTCAACTCTTGGTTTTAAAGTTTGGTGGGTGTTGCAACTCCCCAAACCTGAGTAAGTTACATACAAAAACACAGGCTGCAGGATCTCCTTGGAATCCTTTGAATACCTCCTGTGACCACCTCGCCAACAGCCACACTTGGATTTGAAGTTCTTTGTGCTGCTTGGGTGCTCTCTATTGAAAGGACAGCGTGTCCAGAGGGCAGAGCATGGCCCTGGCTGTGCTATGACCTGGCCACTTCAACCGACTGACTGGTGTTGAGGTGGTGAAACTTTTAAGAAGTGGGGCCTACTGAACAGGAATTAGGTCACAGGGATGTGTGAAGGATGAATGAATTGACACTGGTCTTGCAGAGTGGGTTGGATCTCACATGGGTGAATCATGAGTCCTCATGAGTGCTGGTTCTTATAAAGTGAGGCCATCTTACATGCTTGGTCTCTTCTGCATGTACCGCACACCACTGTCTCATACATTTCCACTACTGTGATGCCATCCACCATGAGGCCCTCTTCAGAGCTGAGCAGAAGTCAGCACCATGTCTTAAATACCCAGAACTATGAGCTAAGTAAACCTCTCTATATTTTGTAAGTTACACAGTCTCAGGTATTTTGTGATAGCAATGGAAAAATGAATGAAGACAATGTGCATGTTGGGGATAACCAGTGGAATGGGTGTTTACTCTAAACATGTTCTTGAAGTAGTTCTTAACCTAGGTGGGGTCTGCAAGAGAGGGTGTGTGCCAGAAAGGTGGTGGGCATTTGAGGTTATCCAATGAAAAGAAACATTACCAGCGTAGGGGGCATTTGGATGCAGTGCAAGGATTGTCCCACTTAATTACAAGTGTCTTTTGAGTAGACATTTCTCTAAAGATGTATAAATGGGTAATAAGCATGTGAAAAGATGCTCAGTATCACCAGTTATTATCAAAATCACAAAATATTGCTGCTTACCATAAGGATGGCTATTATTTAAGACACACATACACACACACACACACACACACACACACACCCCAGAAAACAACAAGTGTTGGTGGGATATGGAGAAACTTGAACGCTTGTGCAATGTAGGTGGGAATGTAAACTGGTACACCTTCTATGGAAACTAGTATGACTGTTCCTCAAAAGACGGTAACTATAGTTAAGCAATTTTACTTCTGGGGTCTACCTGCTCCCCAAATTTTAAACAGGGTCTAGGGGAGATATTTGTAGACCTGTGTTCATAGCAACATTGTTCGTGATAGCCAAAAGGTGGAAGAAACCCATACATCTATGGACAAAGGATGATAAACTAAGTGTGGTCTCTATGTGCAATGGGACATTATTCACCCTTAAAAGGGAAGAAAATTCTGACACATGCTACCACATGGATGAACCTTAAGGACCTATGCAAAGTGAAAAAACGTCAGTCACAAAAGGACAAATACTGTATGATTCTACTTATATGAAGTCCTAGAGTGGTCAAATCCATAGAAATGGAAAGCAGAGTGGGGGCTGTCAGGGGCAAATGAGAGGGGTAATGGGTCTAGAATAAAGGTGCTTTAATGCCTGAAGTGGTTACCATGGGCTGAGGGTGGAGCTCTGTAGTTGAGCACTGCCTAGTATCTGTGAGGCCCTGGGTTCCAACACTAGTACACCACACAGGCGCGCGCACACACAAACACACATACACACACACACACACACACATCCCACAGGTCACGATGGTAAATGTAGGTGTCTATGGCTTCAAGAAAAGAATTGTCTCATGTCTCATGGGAGATAAGCTAATCATCGAAAAAATAGTCAAATGTACATGTATTTGGTTATAAGTTTGTTCATACTTTGGAGAGCCAAGTTCAATACCACATTTGTCCTTCTCATCTAGGTTCTCCTTTGTCTCCATCAATAAGAAGACCTTTAACATCTGGTCGAGGTTAAGGAACACCTTCACGGAGTCAGGAATGGCAATGGGATGAGAAGGGGTCATGTTATTTAGTCGATGGTATTCATTTAATGAAGTTCTCACTTACTTATAGTCATTAACGTATAAACTACATCTCTGAATCCATAAAGTCACCTTAGGGGAGCAACTTGGTATCTCTAGCTTTGAATGATGCTTTCAGATTTTGAAGGAAAGCTGTGGGGAAGAGTATTCCTACCTTGTAGATGCAGGACTTGGCATTCAGGAAGAAGAGCTCAATGGTGGCATTGTCCTTCAGGTAGGAGATGCTTTCTATGTAGAACCTGAAAGAGGAGAATGGCACGTGAGCCACAGTGGACCAGAAACCCATGGTTCTCTTGACTGCTGGAGTTGAGGTGAGGACTAGAGATCCCAATGTTAAAGAAGGTATCGAGTGTTTTTCTCTGATTCTTTTTTTGTGGGCAAACAGTGTTTTTCGTGTCTGTTCCTAGCAGGTCAGATTGGTCAGGCCTGAGGGCCTCCCCAGAGACAAACAATGGGCCCCCTTGCCATCCCTCCCTAAGAGCAGACTGAGTCTCCTTCCACTTTGCCTTCCTTAACCGCTTTCCAATTCTTCATGTTATTTGATTTCATTATATTTTTTTGACCTAATGACCATCGAGATGGATTTTTAAAAAGATGATTTCTTCTGCTTAATCAAATAAGGTGTGTGTGTGTGGGGGGGGGGTTGCGTTTCTCTTTGAAATGCTCCTTATGTGCGTTCCCAAGGGTGGTGAAGTGTGACTTGATTTCTGCACACGCAGAGCACGGTGGTAAGTGTCCTTAGCACTGACATATTAATGCATATTAAGCCAAATGAGAATTGAATTCCTATCAGGATGGAGCCTATGGATTTTTTCAAGATTGAAACATGCTGACATTATTTAAGTTTACATTAAATGTGCCTTTGCATATCGACTTTGGAGTTTATTAAATTCTTTAACTAGATAATGTGCTTGTACTATCTAAGGATCGCATGCTGAGCATATAGGAGCTGGGGTGGTGGAATGATTTAAATGCAGTGTTATCAGAGGGAAAAAGAGTCTTAGTGGGTGCGACAACCCTCAGACTAGACTGGGAAGGCACTGGCTGCTTGGCTCTTAGAAACTGGATGGACCAAAAGAGGTAGTGGGTGAAGGAACTGAATGAGAAGAAACAACCTCTCTGTCTTCTAGTACAGTGCTACAATTTGATGACAAGAATTCTGGGGAGGGGACCAAAGACCAGGAATCTAGTCCCTGCTTTGTATACTTAGGACAAGTCACACAATCTCTCTGGGCTTCTCTTCTCCAGGCTAAAAGAAGAGAGTGGGACTCAGTGGATGCTTCTCCATCTGAGACGTCTCCTGTTTTTTAAATATTGGACACGAATACAAAGGAAGACCACAATAAAACAGCAGCAGCAAACCCAACAAGCCCACATCGTAAAAGGCAAACGAAACATATCCACAGGTTAGGTCAAGACACACCCACAGTCGAAACCTCTTTTCTGTACCCTAAGTGAACGCTGTCTTCTATCAGTTTCCAAACGTGTGCGGGGGTTGCTGTGATGAATTCAGTATAGACTCATTTAAATGTGTGAGTGGATCTAGTGTAACTTCAGGTATTAGTAGGTCCTCTCAGTCGGCAGACATGAGTAGCATGATCACCATCATGTCAGGGACTGCAGAGTCTCAGAGGATTACAAGATGACCCTCAGGCTTGCAAAGCTGGGAAGGAGAGGACCGACTGATCCTTGGCCACATCACCTCCTGCCCTGGAGCAGCTGTCTACTGCTTTGGAGGCAAGTGCTTTTCAGCTCATGGGGCCCTGAGTAGTAGAGTCTGCACTGGTCTCGGAAGAATCCTCAAGTTCACAACCCTCAGTTCTTGAGTAATGCAGAACTGAAATGAAGTGACAAATTTTACATCTCAAAGTAAAATACGTTCAATTGGATTTAATTATCAAAAATAAACCTGTATCCTTTACAAAGGGCCCTTGACAGGGGGTAGTTAAAATAACAAATTAAGTGGAAAAAAGGAAGGGAAGAGGAAGAGCTCAGGGGCGGGATAAAAATATAGGGCACTGCTTTGAAAATTAAGTCATCACAGATCCTTGAAATTTAGAGTCAAAATTACTATGGTCCACTCCCATGCTCCCAGGACATCAGGATGCTCTGCCGCACACTCTGCCCATGGGCCGGTCATCTTCTGATGACTAGGGTGCCTTCTCACTGGGCTGCCAACTCCTTCAGGGCTGGGGCCAGGTTTGTTCATGTTTGTATCTCAAGCCCAAATACAGCGCCTGGCACAAATATGGGCCTAGTAAGTGGGGGTCAATGCAGACTTTCCACTTTCCCCTCTCCATTCTGCCTTTGGTTGGAGTTCCTACTGGACAGTGAAAAGGGTGATGAAGACAATAAGGAGGGAGAAGAAATAACAAGTGACTTCCAAGTGGTCACCAATCCCAGGTGAGGGGATTTACACCCCAAACAGACCGTCATTACCCCACTGTCCTAGCTCTCACTGGTGACAGAGAAAGTGGTTACAATAGCGACTGACTTAACGTGTCCTAATACCAGAACAGTAGCAGGAGCCTCCCGAGGCTGACAGCAACCTTACTATGATAATAACATTCAGTTTAAATCTGTATGGTCTGAAATCACTTAATTTCCAAAGCAATTCCATTTATCCTACTTGTTTTACTTTGAGAATTCAGTATTGATGACATTCTGGGCACACACTCCCAGCCTCAATTTTCTCTTGAATAGTAGTTTATGAAAACATAACACTTGTCTTTTCCTTTCAACTCTTACAATGGAAAACTCAAACAAGGAGGCCCTGATGATGTCTCTGGAGATAGCACTCACTTCCACCGACCTCCTGCCATCTGGTTTTGAGAGGCAGAGAAGGAAGAGGAAATAACAAGCATATTCTGAGATACAGAAAAAACCCTCCTCTTGACAGGAAGTGGAGAGAGCTTTCCTGTTAACCTTATCACCAAGACAACCGCCGGGAAAACCCTGGTAGCAACGGACCCGTCATACTCTTATTCAGTAACCTTGGACATTTAACTCATCCTGAACTTTCCATCCGCTCCAGGAAACTGTGGAGGGGAAAAAAAACCTGGAGAAAAAAAAAAAGGTCTGAGATGTCTCCATTCACACACAAGCAGACACCAGGGAGAGGAGACTTGGGCAAATGGGGAGCGTTCATGGTTTGGATGCAACAGTTTTTGTAAAAATGTGGTTCTTTTCCACACTTTCAGGAGAGCTTTGTCCTTGATCCCCCTCTTGGACAGTAGGTGGCGATGTTGCACTTCCTTTTCCTGGGCGGGGACAGGCCAGAGGCTTCCTCAAGAAGCAGGCTCACAAAGACAAATCTGGGTCTTTGGGTAAACCCAGGGAATTGAAGGCTGGGTCTTAGATGCAGAGGGTCTGCATGCATGGTTTCAAGTTCACTCTGGATTAGCCACGTCTTTATGATACTTTGGCATCTGGGACCTTGCTGACACTAGAGGGGCTGTCCCGCCCAGGGTCGGCCACTTCTTACAGACAGTAAGAACTGCGACTCTCAAGCAACCCACCAAACAAACCACAGTCCACACCTCCCCGCAGCCCCATCAGCTTCATACTCAGGGCCACTATTTGCCTGCCTTGACTACTTCAGGGATAACTAGGGACAATCCCAGAGCCCACTGAACTCGTTCATTCTAGCCAAACCTGGGCCTGCTTACCCCCATCACCTGTTCCTTCCCACAGAAGCCTCAATAAAGCCTGTTACCAGCATTTTCCTCTCTTTCCCTACCCCCAACTACAGGCTCTAGTGCTTCCCCAGGGGGCCCTGCATGTCTGATGGAGCATGCCCCCTCCTCCTGGGAGCTGTGACAAACTACTTTTTCAACACCAGTCACCTCCTGATCTGTTGTCCTCATGGTACCTGATAAACAACAAAACCTTCATCTTAATGTCGGTTCTTTGATGCATGTAGCAGCACCGAGCCTTGGGGCTTCCTTTTGAGTTGAAGGGAGAAACCCCCTCGACACGAGAGCAAACCTAGCACCAGATGATCCCTGAGCCCCATGAGCCATGTCACACCCCTGCTAGCTCAGATGATCCCCGCCAGAGAATATTTGATCATAGTCTGATGCAGAGAGAAGTCTATGTTCTTCGTCCACGGGTTCAAGCGTATTAAACACCCCATAGGCTCTGCAGCCTTGGGGAGTCTCAGCACCTTGTTGAACTCCTGGAAGCTTCTGACTGTGATGGCTGATCTCTGTCTAGCCAGCTGACATCAGCCTGGTCTCCCCTGCCGTCCCCGCTCCTCCCCTTCCCTCTCACAGCCACCCCTTTGGCATTTGGGAATCATTGAATATTTACAGCAAGTGTTAATTAAATGGCCCAGTGATTTCATTGCATAATGAACACAAATGTCATATTTGGAATGCTAACTTGGGGTAGCAGAAAAGAGCAAATGAAAAGCTGTGAGCTTCTACAGCTGAGGACTCTTGGTGTTTAGACTTGCAATGGCCTTTAATATTAACTGGGACACTCAGCAAGTTCTGGTTAACAGCCTCTTCATTTTAGATCTATGCCATCACTATTTTTGTGAGAGACAGGAAGTAGCTACTGCTGTAGCTAGGAGGACATCAGCAATGGGGACACTGACAGTCAAAGCCACAGTGGCTGTAACATCCTCTCTTTCAGATAAAAGCCTCCTGGACTCTCCTCTCGGTCTTTCTTTCCTATTGCTCACTTTAGTTTATTGTTTGTGAAATCAAAGTTGAGGAGGCAAATCTAATCTGTTAATTTTTCTACAAACAGGGTAGATGACCAGGACTTCAGGGATACTTGGTAAAGAACACATGATTAAAGGAACAGCCCTGACATGTGGGAATCATTCTGAGCACAAACTTGTGCCTACAAAAAATCATACACAGATTTCCTTGTGTGTACCTCTATTTTCCTTATTTTTTACTTTGTCTATTACTTAAGCTTGCCTGGTCAATATGAGAGTCATTTTCTCCCATTTTTAGAATTGTCTTATAGCACTAAACGATGGCTATGGGTGAAGGTGTTCTTGGTCATGTATGGGCTGAGGTGACACAAGGGACAATGAGGCTGGACAGCTGGGAGAAGTCAGACTGGACAGAGCTTGCTTAGGCTATGCTCCCCACCTCCCCAAGGATAATGGGAAGCCAGAAAAAATTTGTGAGCAAGGATCAGATGAGAATTCTAGAAAGATGTGCAGGGGAGAATAGGCAGGACCCAAGAGCAGAGGCAAAGCTGAACAAGGAAAGTTGAAGTCCAGGAGAGGTTTATGAGGCCCCAATTGCAGCAGAGAGGGTGTGCATGGAGCACAAGGGAGGGATATAGAGCTCTCTGAGATGCAGAACAACAGGAAATTGTGAGCAGAGCAAAGGGCAAAGGTGAGACAGGATGGGGAAGGTCGAGGAAAATCACCCAATGGGGGCAGAAGCTCTTTTATGGACCCAAATCTCCTCCAAGGTCTGGGACTTGGATGAAGATAGTTTGCCTTACCACTCCTTTGGAAGAAACACCTGTGAGCAGCCCTAGACAGGAACCAAGTTACAAACAGAGAATTTTTCTCAGGCTGAAAATCAAGGTAAAACTGGAGAATATATATGCCCAGGTGGAGAATCTGGCTCCTCTGGCAGAAAACAGACAATTGGTGTTTGGTTGTACTGCTGCTCAGAGAGGTGAAGAATGGGAACTCAGGGCAGTGCCAGGATCCTCTGGCCAGTACCAAGGGGCCAGCTGTCCGGGGGCAGCAGATGAAAGCCTCAGAACAGCAGTGAGGAAGGATGGACAGGAGGACAGGGCAGAGGAAGAGTTTGGAAGCAGAACAGAGAATCCGAGCATGTAAGAATTGGCAGAAGAGGAGCGAGGGAAAGAGTACCTGCAGCCTACGGGAGGCAGTGAACAAAGACCCACAGATCTCTGGGGACCACAGAAGATCTGGGGAAAAGAGAGGAGGAGTGGGCTGGTAATGACACTGGCTTTGGAAGGCTAAATCGGAAGAACTCAGGTGGAATGGTCTAGGAGGGACCCGGACATAGAAACTGAGACCTTCTAGAAAGATCAATTGTCAGACGAAGAGGAGCAGTAATCTTCCAGGAGGTAGCAGAAAGAATAGCAGAGAGCCCCCATCCTCAAATGGGATTTGGAGATGTTTTCTGATGAGTGTTCTGTGAGGTTCCTGCTGGCCACTCAAAAACACGAGTGCCCATGGCAAGAGGGTCATTTCTGGCCGGGGATCAGATAAAATATCTGAGTCTTGTGGTCGCCCTGCTTCCTAGTTCTGTCTTTTGCAAGCAACTGTTATATGTTCGCAGCTTCCCACTGTGTCCTCTGGATTGACATGAAACAACCTGTACTACCTGGGGGACCATCACCTCTGTCACCAATCTCAGTGTCCCAGGCTGTCCTGCGAGGGTCTAGTTCTCCAAACCCACCAGGAACTCATCTCTTTTCAGACACTCGGGAAAAAATAACTAACATGCAGCAAAGCCCAGTATTTTCTTGACTAACACTGAAGAAAAGTACCAGAAAGAGAAACATTTTTTTTTCTAAGAAGGAGGGAACCCCACTTTATTCCATTGTTTAGTATAAATGACTTTTTTTTTTTAAGACATGAAGTCATTTGCTGGTTGTTTATTTTCTGGTACAAGCAGAAAACATGGGACTTCACAGAAGGTTCAGTTGCCCTGGCTTATCATGCATTGGTTAAGGCTAGTTTTGCATCCTGTAAGAGAAAGCAAACCAAAGGGATGTCTGGAGTCACAGCTGTGCATTTGATCCATCTTAAACACTTTAAATTTGAATCCCCTGTTTTTTAGTAGAATTGTTTCTAAGGAGAACCTTTCCATGATCCTTGCCCAGTCAGGACTATGTGCCCTCTGTAAAAGTTTGTGGTGATACCAGTTTAAACAACAACAACAACAATAAACAAACATAAGGAATACTAGTAAAGAAGGAGAATAAAGGAGAGAAGAGAGACTGGAAAGAGTAAGGACTGGGGACTGAAATGGGGCACGTTAAACCCATACATGTATGATTATGTCAAAACCCCCCACTAGTATGTATAATTAAAATGACCTAATAAAAGCATAATACCTCACTTGGACATTATACCTTTGTTTTTATGTGGTGCTGAGGATGGAACCCAGTGCCTTGCATGTGCTGGGTGAGTGTTCTACCACTGAACACAACCCTAGCCCTAGTAAAAGCATTTTTTAAAAGTTTATGATAGCCTGGTTCTCCTAATAATTTTGCTAAAGTGATGTGAAAAGTTAAAAACTTGAATATGTACTGTACATGGTATTAAATCGTGAGCTGGTGGGACTTATGGGACAGCTTATCAGCATCTGAACATACTGATACTTACTACCCTGCTAATGAAAATTTGCCTCTGGATTTGAAGCTGGAAAATTCCTGGAATAACTGTTGAAAAAAAGAATCAAAATACGTGGCTTTTTAGATTTTCACTTCCTATGTGAAGAATCGTGTGCAAATTGAAATGTCTGTGTACACCGTCTGACGTTCAATACAACCTTTATGGAAATTATGGAAAAAACAGGAGGATGGGGGAGGCTGATGCACAGTAAGGTATTTATCCTCCTGGCATTACAGGTTAATGAACTGCTTCAATTCAACTCCAGCCTTGCCCACCACCACCTGCCCCTCCCGGCGTAACTTGCTTTTTTATGGTTACTTTTCCATTAATCTGAGAAACTGTAGGCACCACTAAAGAGAACATGGCATTGAAATCATTCCCATCAGCAATGGAAATGGCTAAGATTAGCTCTGATATGTCCACAGCTGTTAAACAAATCAAAAAGGCATTAAATGCAAGTTTGAATTGACTCTGCCAGCTGAGGTAAAGTCATCCACTTCAGTCTGTTAAATGGACCCTTTAACTCTTGGGCTCTTCTAATGCCGTTTGTGGATTCAGGGTGGTTATATGGAAAACTGCAATCCTGACCCAGTTCTTTAGGAGGAAACTAATTGAATCCTCCTTGTGAATGTCTGTTAGCATAGAAGAGAACACAGATTCAGTGGACTGGGTGGAAGAGATGGTATCTGAAAACTGGGGTGTGGCTCATTTGTACAACACTTGTCTGGCATGTGGGAGGCCCTGGGCTGGAGCCCCAGCACAAGAAAACCAAACCAAACCCAAAACCCCTCAGTGCTTCACACTAGTGTTGCCACTTTCTAGACAGAAAGGGCCTGTGGCTCCACAGACCAGGTGCTCAGAGCTGTTGGTCTGGGAGCTTGGAGTCGGACTTTGCCCCCTTCTAGCTTCCCACAGCCTGCTGCAAACAGAGGCATCAGTCCTGCGTCTTCAGACTCTGCAAATGTTAACTCTGAAAGCACTGTATCACAAAAACCGTTTCCTCTGCACTCATTAAATAAAACGTCTTAGACTAGTGAACAGAAAATGCCAACCATTTCTGACATTTTATTGTGCTTTCTCCTCCCTTGCCACAGCATACACTGACCTGTGTTTTGCTGCTGGTTTTAATTAGTCCTCTTTGGGATAGGGAAAAAAAAAAAAAACTCAAGAGGCTCAAGTGGCATTTGTGATAGAAGGGAAGAAAACCATGACTTTTATTATGGAGCTCCTAACTGCCACCAAAAGAGTTCCAGACACATGCTGTGAGGGACTCAGTTTAGTATGAGATACACGACCCCTCTCCCCACACCCCTAAAAAACGACAAAAGAAAGCTTTGATCGTTATTCCACAAACGCATCCATCCGCTGGGAACGGAGCTACACTACAACCTTTATCCTTAGTGACGCACAAGGCAAGCTTGCACCCACCCTCCTCTGAGCCACTTCATCCTTCCACACTTTTCTGACAAAGACGGAGAAGCCAAAGTGTGAATACCAGGTGTACGTACCTGACACAAAAGTACAAAACCACGGGTCCTGACTTTTTAGGGAAGTCGTGCTCCAGTACTCTTCGATCTAGTTGAAGCCAGTTTAGGTGTCCCCTGAGGAAAACAGAGACAAGTTGGTTAGGGCTCCGCACGTGGCAGCAGTGTTCTGGGTGAGGGTGCATGTGGCTCACATAGGGTGGGCAGTCCCCTCGCTGCTAGCACCTAAGTAATGGAAGAACCAAAGGAATTATCCAGTGCTAGTGCATCTGGGACCTGATGGGGCCACCAGATCCGGGCGGGGTGAGGCAGTGGGAGGTGGGGCCACAGGTAAGGGGCGGGGCGAGATAGTGGGAGGCGGGGCCACAGGTAAGGGGTGGGGTGAGGCAGTGGGAGGCGGGGCCACATGTAAGGGGCGGGGCGAGACAGTGGGAGGCGGGGCTTGCTGCCTACAAACTCTTTCCGGTCCTGATTTCCTCTCCCCCACTGCCTTTGTTCCTGAAGGACTCAAAGCTCACTTGACAGATCCATTAGCAATCCTCACACATCCTGGGGTTAAAAGTGCTCTGTAGATCGTTTATTAAAAAATGAAACTTACACCTACCATAGGAGCTAACCACGCCACTCCTTGATATTCATCCCAAATGAAAGCATTTGTCCATCAAACACAGTATAGGTGCCTTATGCAAATATTCAGAGACTTAACTATCTCTTCAAAGACATCATATTTGAAGAGATACTAAAACAGTCCCAAACTCAAAACAACCGCATGTTTGCCAAAAAGGGAGTGTGTAGATGAATCATGATACACTCACATGATGGAATACTATGCAGCAATGAAGAGCGTGTTATTGCTATATGCAACTACATGGGTGATATTCAAAAAAACTATGCTGAGTGTAAGAAGTCTGATTTTAAAAAAGTGTAGACTCTTATGATTCCATTTAAGTAAACCTCTAGAAAACACAAACTAATTGGCAGTGACCACAGAGGTTGCCTGGGGGTGGTATTGATGAGTGAATGACATGTCCACTGCCTTCCTGGTGCGGACAGTTCCATGGATGTGGATATATGTCTAAACTTATTCAATTGTATACTTTAATATATGTAGTTATTGTATGTCAGTTGTAGTTCATTAAAGCTATTTAAAAAGTGAAACACAGAGATACATGGTGATACACAGATCCTTCTGAGACAGACATTCAATGACTCGTTCCATAATTAATTATGTAATTACTATTAGCAGTAAGACCGTGCATTATGAGGACATATATGTAGTCTGGGGATTGGAGAAGCACTTCCTGGTTTTCGAGCTAAAACTGGAAGAAAGAGCATAAGTGGCCTGGTGAAGGGGAAGGGAAATCACTTTCTAGGCTGAGGGACTAACATGCGCAAAGGTGGGAAGGAACCAGTATTTGTAAGGGGTGGGGTTGAGAGGTCCTCGGAAGCATGATGTGAAGATTGGTCTTTGGACTCCCTCTTTTAATTAAGCCAACACCTGTAGCAATGGGGATGCCATTTGGATCTGCCACAAAGTAGAGTCCACCTGAGGGACTCAGGCTTCTATCTCTTCCTAGGAATCTCCATTTGGGGAACAAAACAAAACAAACAGATAATTAGGACTAGAAGAAGGGTCAGGCTGACCTCTGACCCTTCTGGCTCCCTTCCTGGGCACGCCTCCATGGCTGTGCTTTCCAGTCTACATTTATTTTCCTAACATAATTTTTACATCTGAAAAATGTCAGGAGACCTATCTCAGAAGGTCAAGTGCATGTCTGATCAACTGGAAGGTGTCAGGAAAATTATCTGAGGATGAGAAGCTACAGCCACTCACTTCCTGTCTCTGAAAATGTCCCCCAAACTCTCAGAGTCTTTTCTCTGTGGCTGAGCCTCTGGTGAGTGGCCATGGGTGTATTTGAGGCCAGTTGCTTCTCCTGACTGGAGCTGGAGGCTCTCCCTTCATCCTCTTAAATCCACGTTAACCACAATTCAAGCCCGAGTTCAGTGAAGTGAAGACTTCGTTGATTGTCTGCTATGGTTTGGATCTTAAATGCCGCCCAAAGTCTCATGCTCTACAGGTGTGGTCACCTGGAGAGGTCATTTGGGAGGTAGTGGAACCTTTAAGAGGAGGGGCTTAGGGGAAGGAAGTTAGGTCCTGAGGGAGTGTTGTGGAGGGGGATCCTCTGACCCCCGTTCTTTCCTCTCTTTCTTGGCTTTCCTCTGCCCCCATGAGGTGAGCAGCTGTGCTGTATCATATGCTCCCTGAACCCCGATGTTCGGCCTCACCACAGGCCCAAGGCAGCAGAGTCCAACAACCATGGACCAAAACCTCTGAACCTGTGAGCCAAAATAAGCCTTCCCTCCTTTTATATTGTCTTTGACACAGTGACAGAAAGCTGATTAACACGTTGCCTAAGCCCAGGTTCTTTTTAAACTTCTCCAGAGCTTTTGGTTTGTGTCATCTACAAGGCTTTCAGCTTACTCTTGTATAATTAGTCATGCTGAAAAATACAACTTGACTCTCCAACTAGGTTCTAAGTGTTCCCATTTAAAAGAAAAAAAGAAGAAAGAAAGAAACCCTCACCCAAAACCTAGCACAGTGCCTGGTGAATATTCAGGTTTCTAAAGATGTATTTGCTCATTAACTGAAGGACTCCCTACAAGAACAATCCCTTCAATGTCTGTGTCATCTCACAGATTTCTTTCTTTCTTTCTTTTGCATGATATCATTTATATTAGCACAGATTCCTTGTTGGAGGGTCTAGTAGGAATAGCCTTTGCATGAGCCTCACAAGGGAAATCTTGGACTCACCCATAGACTAGAATGATACAGAAGCACAGTGACTTTTCTCTAGTGCACAACTCAAGGCAGAAGGAAGACTTGGGGCAGAAAGTTCCACACACGCATCTGAGACCAGCCAATGGTCCAGGCTTGGGAAATCCTCAGCACACCCACAGCACATGACTGACTACATAAGTTGCCAGGGACTAGACAGGGATGTCTGGGGACTGCCATTCACAAGGCAAAGAACCTCAAGGTGGGGATGTGTTGCCTGAGGAACCAGAGACCCAGGTGTCATTGGATACCTTCCCGTTGGTTTTGCTCACTGCTCGTCCTTCATCTGTGTTAACAGATTCCCCTGCTAAGATTTTATTCCCCACATTAAACTCTTGAAAAGATCCACTTTTTTTTAGCAATGAATTTATTTACTGAAAATTCCTTTGTTCCTGGCTGTGTATTGGTTTAGAATTTATGAAGCAATTAAATGACCAGAAACTAACACACACACACACACACACACACACACAAGGATACAAAACAAAGAGAACAAAGGAGTGGAAATCACCCTAAAGTGAACAGTTAATATCTGAGGAAAAAACTTGACCAAATTGTGTTGTGTGCATGTTTGATATTTAACAATGAATCCCCATTGATATGAATGATTGATTGTGATACACCAATAAAAAAATGACCTTCCCTTTGGGCTGGGATTGTGGCTTAGTGGTAGAGCACCGGCTTAGCACAGGAGGGACCCGGGTTTGATTCTCAGCACCACATAAAAAAATAAAAAAATAAAGGCATTTCTCTCCCCCCGCCCCAAATGACTTCCTTTCTCCACTTCCACTATTTCAACTCTCCAACCTCAATTCTGTGAGCACCTTCCCAGCTCAGGTAGCAGATGGAGAGGCCACTTCCTCAATACCCATCTTTGGAGCTCGGGAGGAAGGAAGTCGGCCCCTCTGGAAAGTCTGTAAAAGTCTCTCTGATGAATAAATAGCTAACAATGTTTAGCTATTTATTATGACAAAGGGAAAGACTGAGGGACAAGTGGACTCATCTAAGGCCCTTTTAGGGTGATTGTCCACTATTTGGAAAAAGCTAAAAGATGTGTTAGAAAGTAATGTAGAGACCACAATTCTGGGGCCACTGGTTTTGACGGCAGTCAGACTTGTTAAAATACTGTTTTCTGCTCATTCTATTGGGTATGAAGTCTCAATTCCTACACTGTGGAGGGCTGCTGTTTCCTCCCTAGAGAGGGCTTTTTCTGTCCTATTGAACAGCTTCCAGTCCGATATCTAGGGCTCCCTTCAAATCCCCATTTGTTTCCCTTTGAGTTAGGCTGGGATGAAGAACAAAGAGGCGAAGAGGCACTTCCTTTGCCCAATTTAACTAAGAGACTCTGGAAGGCTTGGTTTTCATGATTCCCATTGATTTTTTCATTTGAGAATGCACATTAGTGTCTTTGCCAATAACAAAACAAAACAAAAAAAAATAAAATATAAAAGGTGCCCCAGCAGATGCTCAAAGCATTTTTGTTATCACCTCATTGATAACGATCTTCAAAGTGATCAAGATATTGTTCATTTAGTTATGGCTATCGTAAGTCAAACTATTGGGTCAGTAATAAATATGCAATTGCTTCCGGGCAATAGAAATTGGACGCATTTATTTAGCAGATTGCTTTTAGCTACTACCTATAATACAAATAGATTTTTAGGTCAAGTGCTGACACCTTCAATAAAGATGGCCTCCGGGAGCTGTGTTTATAGAGTTTCTGGAGGGTGGAGGTGCGTGATAAGTCTATCTGCACCAATCCCTTCTCAGGACCTGGGGGGAGAATGCTACTGTGCACTTTTTACTGTAGAAAGGTTATTTCATGTAGAATGAGCTTTTACAGAAAGCCAAAGCAAGGATGTGAAATTCTTAACAATGACACTGGATGGAGGTGTGGGGGGGGGCGCCCCTCAAATGCAAGAATGTTTAGCTATTTATGTCATTAAGGACAGCCCAGGGATACCAATTTAGCTAGAAACCCTCAAATAACAGAGGAATATCAAAGTAGAATGTGTTCTGGGGAGACCAGATTACTAAATCACGGACTCCTGGTTTAATTGGAATTTCTGGTATAATTTTTTTATTTATTGAGGAATTGTTGGCTTCATTATGTTGTCTTAAGGCTGTTTTAAATGTTCTCTATAACATTTCTTACACTGTGTCTTATTAATTACCTCTTAAACTACAAACAGGCTCAACAAAGGCCAGTTACATCTGTCTCTCCAGTGGGTAATAGTGAAAGTTAAACAAATTACATGTTAAGAACTCGAATGCAGGGCTG